AAAAGCGAGGAGTTTGATTGATGTCGACGAAACTCGTGTTCTTTCATTAGTGGAGTGACACCGCGTAATTGATAATGATTAGATTGAAGAAGTGGCCGGGGAATTCAGAGACAGGCAACGTATGTAAATTATTGTATATAAGTAGTCGTTAACGTGTCAGTTGTAAAATTAACACTCGTAAAATCGATGTCGATAACAGTTACGTTTCATGTTGATACACCGCTTGAAGCAATCGGAGAATTATTTTGCCAGTTTCCCGGATAATTCCCTAGGATAAATCAATCGTTCGAATCGTAAATGATACTGTAAATGATACTTTAACAATGGAAATTTTATTAGAGGTAAATAGGTTCGAGCGTATAATTTTCTGACAATTTCTTTTTGAGCAGCGGAACTCATAATTCTCCGGTTGAATTTAGAGATCTCACAGACTGTACAAATTATAAATACCCTTAAAATAACGATATATCGCAGTAAGATTTAACTGTATTCTATTAAATCATTTCAACAATGAGCACGTATCTTATCTACGTACAGACATTCGGTCTGAATTTAACAACCATCATGAGTGAACATCTCTTTACACTTATCTTAAATATCTGTGTATAATACAACGATAAAAAATTATATTAATGTATATCAAAAAAAAAAAAAAAAGAGAAAGAAAGAAAAGAAAAAACAACGATTCGTTTCACGTAAAGTGAAAATTTCATGAGACAAAAATTATTTAAACGATACGAAGAATGATAGTCATACCTTGGAATAATCTTCTTTCTCGAAAATAATCGATTAATTATAAACTTTAATTGCAGTGGCAAATCAAGAAAAGAAGATGTTGAGAAACGAGAATCATTCAAAATTTGTGCGTTTTGAACAACCAAACTAAATTGGCTCTGCCTTCCTGTCTCACGACTATCTTTATGTAGAAACCAGTAACGCCATCTGCAAGTTGTGATTGTTGGAGTTGCTGTTCACGCTTCGGCGATTCAGCTTCGTGCACTTTAATCTCCACTCTTTCCTCCTTCCTCTTCCTCCCTCTTTTTCGCTCCGTTGTCTGTCTTTGCTCCAACTTCTTCTCCGCCTCAGGTTTTCGACCCTCTATGTGCAATTGCAATTGCTGGAATTGTCTGCTCTCCCATTCATCCTCGTATCTTGTTTCCTCTATCTGTCGTTGCAATGCTTCCTCCTGCATCCTCAACATTACTTCCTGCTGCGACGTCCAATGTGCCTTCAATTCCTCCAGCTGTAATTGCATCTTCTTTTCTTCGCGAATTCTTCGTTGCTCCTCTTCCTTTCGTTGTATCAACAACTCTTCCTGCTTTCGTCTCTCTTCTTCCACCTGTCCATCCAATTTTTCCTCTTTCTTTGATTCAATTGGTTCTTCTCGAGCCCTATCTTCGATCGCCGCCACTAATCGCTGCTCCACTTCCTGCCGTTTCTCATCTTCTTCACTTTTCAATCTCTTCTGTGGAATTTCCTCTTGATCTGCCTTGATCCCCAAATCCTCCTCCTTCCGATGTTTCTCCAAATTCTCCTTTTCTCTCTCGTTCCTCAATTCCACTTCCGATCGTTTCTTCTTCTCGTCCTCCCGCTTCGCCACATCTTCCACCTTCTTCCCTTCTTCCTTCTCTTTTTCTTCTTCTTTTTCCTCCCTCCGCTTCCTCCGTTCCTCTTCCTCTACCCTCCGCCTCTTCGACTCCTCTTCCTCTTGCTTCTTCCTCTGCTCCTCTTCCTCCCTTTGCCTCTTCAATTCCTCCTCAGCCCTCTTCCTCTTCAACTCCTCCTCCTGCTTCTTCTTCTTCATACTCTTCTGCCTCCTCTCGAACTCCTCCTGCATCTCCTGCCTCCTCAATTCTTCCTCCTGCCTTCTGATCAGCTGTTCGTCGTGCTGCCGTTGCACCTCGTCCTGCCTCATCGATTGATACTGACTCCTCTGCTCGATCAGCCGTTGCAGATCCTCCTCTTCTTGCCTGTGCTTCTGCCATTGTTCCTGCTCCCGTATTTCCTGCTCCGCTATGCCGTATTTACCTTCAAGCGGGTGCGAGACCGCATCGTTAATAGAAATTCCCTCGCATCGAGGCTCGTCCGATACGGCCGCGATCAGTGCGGCCGTGGCCGGAGGTT